TTAGAAATCTGGATCTCTTACTTCTCTTTAAAAATCTGATATCTGGGGGTCGGCCCGTGGCTCACTCGGGAGAGTGCGGTGCTGATGACACCAAGGCCCCGGGTTCGGATCCCATATAGGGATGGCCGGTTCGCTCACTGGCTGAGCGTGGTGCTGACAACACCAAGTCAAGGGTTGAGATCCCCTTACCGGTCATCTTTAAAAAAAAAAAAAAAATCTTGGGTCGAGCCCGCAGCGCACTCGGGAGAGTGCGGCGCTGTAGCACAGCAGCGCTCCCGCCGCGGGTTCAGATCCTATATAGGGATGACCGGTGCGCTCACTGGCTGGGCGCGGTGCGGCCGGTCTCAAAAAGGACAAAAAAAAAAAAAATCTGATATCTGGCCACACTGGACCTGCATCCCTGTCCGGAAACAACCAGCTGGAGCTGAGAGTGCGCCCCTGTTTGCCACAGCCCCCTCACCTTGTCAGCAGTCTCTGCAGACATTTGGGGGCTTTTGAGTTTGCAGCCCCAGTCTTAAAACTAAGGGAACTGGTAACTCTGGCTAATGCAGACAATCGTCCATTATTATCCATGGATCAAGGCTCCATCCCAGCTGAGTCCAAGACCACGTGTTAAAAAAAAAAAATCATAAAAATGTGTGAGAAGCATGAATCAGCGAGGGCATCTTCACAGAATGCAGACAGGTGGCTCATGTGGTGTTCTTGCTCCGGTACAGAGGACAAGGGTGTCACTGAGATCAATTACATAATTATTTGCGATAACAGGAGCTGGCATGTTCTGAGAGTTTAGGGTGTGCCAGGGGTGGTGTGGTTCCCCCGTGTATGCCGTGTGTGTGATCTGACCACACCCCCGTGGGGGAGGCTCTGCCAGTGTTCCTCTCTATGTCTACCCCGAGGGGCGGGGTGGGAGCAGAGAGTGTTGGTTGTCTGCCCGAGGACACACACGACTGACTAGTGGGCGGTGGACACAAGTGTCAAGTCTGTGGCTCTGCCCGGGATGAGGTGGCGGCACTTACTGGATATGCACATGCCTTCAGGTATCTAGGGCTGCACATCAGAGGGCAATATCAGTTTTGTGAGCACCGCTTCCTGTGTTTTGTACATTCCGCCTTTCTTTTCCTCTCCCTTTGGTTGACAATTGAAATTTGACCTTATGGTGTTTTTTGATGGCTCTGGGGGCCTGGCGTTGCTGTTGCTTACCTGTTAAAGGGCTTACCTAGCACTAAGGTGATAAGGTTTTGTGTTAGGAATAGCTGATTCTCAGAGATTCTGTAGGCTCCACTGTAGAATTTTCAAGAGACGGTGCTGCAGATGGGATGCTCACTATCTCCTTTCCACGAGTTCATTAATGCTCCTATTGCAAAAAGGTTTTCCAAGAAAGGCTCTTCAGAGAGGGAATTGGTGATGGGGGCCATCACTGGCTTCTGTGGAGTAATTTCAGCCTTGTTCAAGAACATCCCCCAGCACTGACTGTATGGGGATATGGGGGGAGATGGGAAAGTGGGGTTGGAGCAGATTCACATAAGCCTCGTATTATATGGGCCTCTGGCATGTAACCCAACCCGAGAGGAAGGTATAGTTTTCACAATGTTGTAAAATGTATTTGAAGTGGTCTCCTTGGCAACTTGGATTTTTTTCCCTTTTCCTCTGTGATCAACCAAATTTGGTAAGTCACAGGAATCAGAGACTCTCAGAACTGAAATGCAATTTAGGGGATGTTTTCAGTTTCCAGCCACTTGATTCCCACGGCCAGAAGCCGTCCACTGGCCACATCTAAGACAGGTGCGCGGTCGGTCCTGGCCACCAGCCCGCAAGCATGTTTCTCGGGCATGCGCCGAGTGGAGCTGTCTGAGGTTTGGCAGTTCCACTCAGTTGCTGCCTTTTCTATTTTGCGTGGAGAAGACACACGTGGACTTCAGGATCAGATTCCTTGTGTCCTCACTCTGCTGCTGGCCCGTGTCCCCACTGTCTGGCAGGCACTTGTCATGTTCACTTAGTCATGTTCATTCTTCCCTATGGGGATTTCTAAAGCAAGTTGTTTTGTAAGCTCTACCTGTGGCTGGTCACAGACACCCTTCTACATGAGACTTCACCCCTGGGGAGCTGGAATGCGGAGCTCCCACCTCACCCCATGCTTTCATTTTGCCCAGGATCTCTGTCTGTCCCCTGGGCCTTCTCCCGGGTGGACATCTGTAGCAGAGCCCTTGCGAGCCTGCAGGGGTTGGTGCCTGGCTTCTGCTCTGCCGGAAGTATGATTGTTTCGGGAGCTGATTTCCCCAAGGTGTGGGGAAATCCACAGAAGAGCCCGGCAGGGACCCCCTGCCCTGCACAGATAGGGGGATGGCTCCTGCAGACACTTGATAGTCACTAATACCTGCTAGTCTCAGGGAGCCAGGAAGGCAGAGCTGGGCTGCAGGACTCACCAGCTTACGTGACACCCTGAGGGTCTCTCTGCAGGAGCAGGGGCCCCTCCCAGGTGGAGGCTGTCTTCCCTTGTCTCCCCAGCTCACACCAGCTGCATCTGAAGCTGTTGGGAGCTGCCAGCTCCTCAGACATCTGATCCCCAAAGCTCTTGGAAAATATTCTCAGCAGACCAGAGCAGAATCATTCCTCTGCAGGCCTCTGAGTGTAAAACTGGGAGCTGACAGTCACAAAGACAGAGAACACCGGGATGGGTAGGTGGTGAGCACTGCAGCCCCACAGGCCTGAGCGTGGCTTGCCTCATGAGGCCTCTACCTGCAGGCAGCCTGTGGGGTGGGCATCTCTTACCAGAGCCCTGGAAGCAGCCCTGGGGCCAAGGGGCTCTCAAAGTTTGGGCAAAGTTCTCGGTCATCAGGCAGTGGGACCGTAGGAGCTGTCACCATGTCTGGAAGGACAGACGCTTGGCTGGGTTCCCCCAGGGAAAGACGGCATTTGGGACCTGGCAGAGAGAGGGCAGAATGAGTGGAGGAAGTGCCAGGTCCTGGAGCGGGCAGACTGCCCAGCTGTTCCATAACCTCATCAGAATGTTCGTCTCCCCTGATTGTGCTCTCCAGGAAAACCGAGGAGGATTTGGGCAGGGTTGGTGCAGGGAGCTGCAGGTCTCAGCGCAGGCTCATGTTCCCTTGTGCATTCCTCAATTTGGGCCTGCATGCCCTGCTTCTCTAGGCCACTCGAATTCCCCTCCCTGGGATCTCCACTGGGGCCTGGGGGCAGCTGGACCCTGAGAGCTGGTTCCCCATAAAAATCCTAAGACTGAAATTCCCCAGCTCGCTCCCACACCAGGCGGCAGCGGCCTGGGAGGTGTTGCCATGGGAACACTAGATTGGATTTATCTCCTCTCTTAGCAAATTAATTTTATGAATGTCCACAATGTTGAAGCAAATGCAAAACAACACATTTCAAAGCCATCCTTGGGCCTGGGAACTTTTCATCAGAGCTGCGGCTGCGCTACCGCCCCTCAGGCATTTGAACCAGGGGGCAGCAGATGGTTTAAAATCCACAAGTCACTTCTGGAAACTTTTAGGAGGGAGACTCCTACAAAACAGGATCGAGAGGCCCCTGATGCACACAGCCCATCTTCGCTCAGGGTCA